GGGGTCACGGCTGACGTTATTTGGAAGCAGTCTCCCCGCTGGATGCCTGCTCTCCTCGCCTGGGAGAGCTGGGGAGAGGCAAAGACCCCAGGAGTCAGGGGTCAGCCCCACGCAGGGGTGGGAGGAACGGGCAGACCCCCAGGCTGGCTGGCTCAGACCCCCTCCCACCCTCACCTCGTGTAGTTGACCTTGTAGGTGGCCACATCGTCGTTCTGGGAGCGCTGCCGGAACTGGGATGGCGTCTCCAGCTTCCAGTAGTTGAGGCAGAGCAGGAACATCTTGGAGAGCTCGTACATGGTCTGCCGCTCCTTGGGTGGCAAGTGGCTGAACTTGTACTGGACGAAGTTCAGGACTCCCTGGGGAGAGGAAGAGGTGGTGGAGGGGCACCGGGTCCTGCACCAGACCTTTCAGTGCTGCCCCCCGAAGAGGGAGGGGACCGTGCAAGAGCAGCAAAATACAGGACATCAGTTCAATTGAGCCTGACAACGGCCTCACCTGCTCAATGTTTGGCTTCTCGAAGGGGGGGCTCCCCAGGGACCCCTCGACCACAGGCTGGCTCATCTGCAGGATGCACTTCCGCAGGAGCTGCGAAGACACCGTCGGACACGGTTATGGACTGAGGTCCCAAGACCAGGCACACCACGAGCGGTGGAAGTGGCAGAACGCTGCTGCGGGGCTGCACCGATTTACACAGCCAGGAAGGTGCCAGGGTCCACCCCGGAGCATGCCCGTTTCTTCCCTGGAAACCTCCCTCCCAGGGGAATTCAAGGCCGGGAGAGCAGTCGCTCCCAGGACAGGGTCGGCGTTTCAGGTCTCCGGCTGGACTGGTGGGCTCACCGCCAGAGCACAGCTCCCAGCAGAACAGGCAGAGGACAAGCAGCAGGACAGCAGCCCCAGCTCCCCGGCAATGCTGAGGGACCCCTGCCCAACATGCCCAGCCGCAGACACACCTTGAACAGGTAGAAATACACCTGCTTGGTGTCCGTGTCCTCCTCCTTGTGCACCGACATGAAGAGGTTTTCCACGTCCACCACCATACCCAGCAGCCGGTTGATCTCCTCCTCCGAAACGTTCTCCAGGTGGGACACGTGGTCCGCTGTGGCAGAGAGAAAGCCGCAGTGAGACTGGGGGGGTCAGCACCGCTCCCCCTCCCTGGGAGGTCCCAGGCGCCCCGCGGGGGGTTACCCAGCGCATGGCCGCAGCTCCGGCAGGGCTCGCTCAGGTTGGTCACCGGCTGCTGCAGGTCCATGCGGGGGGCGGTGGGAGGG